GCCGCAAATAATAACCGCGCCAGTAGTCGGGGCACACGCTCCGGGTGATTTGTTGGATCTGACATGATCTAGAAGGCAGTGATGTGGAGCAGGTGTTTTTCTCAGGGTTTTTAAGAAATTAAAATTATAAAGGCCTTGAACTAAAAAGCAAAACATGGTAACCTTCGCTCTTTAGGCACAGAAAATGAGAATAGTAAACCAGAAATAAAAGAACCGTTAAATAGACTAAAATTGAAACATCTAAACGACTCGTGTATGTTACCATAAAATAACGTGTATGGTTTTACTCAGCACCGCGATAGCGGATTTAGGATTTAATTATTTTTTTTATAGGGGGGAGCTTGTTTCCTCCTCTATAACGGTTGTTAATCAGGAAGTAAAAAAAACAAAAAAATCTATGAAACGATGCCCAAGTGGTCCTTGAAGACGTTGTTAAAAAAAAATAAAAAATACATATTGGTAATTACTATTACAATAATGGCTTTTAGAAATTTTTTTTCTCGACACCTGCTTACATTTAGTAAGTGTATATCTGTATTTGTTACACATAATAAGTGTATATACGTATATGTTACATATAGTAAATGCGTGTAACATTTAATAAGTGGATATGATAATTAAAAAAGAAAAGATCACTCATAGAAACCTTTTTGGAACAACGAAAACAAAAATTTATTTCTCAATTTTGGGGCAAGAGGGAGGGTGTTTTTTTTTTTTAATCGAATGACAATTTTTCTAGGAGGTTGCAGATAGACAGAACACACAAATAAAAAAAAATGCTGTGGGAGTTCTTTATTTTCTATTATTTCGGAAATAGAACTTTTATCCCATGGTACTTTACAAGTAAAGATTTTACAAAACATTAAACAAAAAAAAAATTTATTTTAAAGTTCTGTCGATTTCTCCGAAAATCGATCTAAAAATGACTTATATCTTTGGCTACTCAAGGAAACGACGCATTAGAATCAAGGAATTCATTTAACATTAATTATAACTCTAATATAAGCCAAATTACTGTCGTTTTTTTTCTCATTAAATGTATTTTTTTATGAACCTAAATAAATAAAAGTTAAAGTTTTACCATATACCTAGAAGCTTATAACAATAAAGTTTCTTAGAAATTTGGTTTTTAAAACTTTTTTCTAAAACTCTTTTTAGAAACTGTTAAAATGGTATTTTTCTTTTTTTTAAATCGAAAACTTGTTTTATTTAATCAGATGATTAATTATTCAACCTAACATTAGAAACAATAGCATTTTGTTGTTTATTTATGCTTGAAGTGAAGTATCACTTCATCTCTTAAGACTTTATTTTAATTACGTTTATTTTAATTATCGTAAGACTTTATTAAAAGACATTATTTTAATTACGGCTGACAGGCCATCTTTATCGGAACGCAATGAAAACAAAGTTTAATTGGTGAAGTATTTTCATTTCTCAAGAATCCATAATAAACATTATGATGGAAAGAGATAATCATAATACTTCTTTATTTTTTTACTTCAAAAATAAATATAAGTACTTGTATAACTTTTATTAAACTTGGTTCTTAAGTCTGTTATGATAATGCAAATATTTCGTCATATTTTTACCGACAATAATAGAGTATTGCATCGTACCAAAAGTAATCGAAATGGGTTAGAAGTGAATTTAAAATTTAAAAGCATACATAAAAAGCAGCTTATAGGTATATCTTGTCCAAAATTTATGAAAATGTGATGCTTATCTTTTTCTCCAATAAAAATCGCCAAAGCTGGTTGATATATTTATATTCAGTACTCTATATATTTCTATACTCTATACATTTTCTCTATATATTTATGTTTACAGGCCTGCAGAGGTCAACTGCAGTGAATATAATTGAGTTTTGGTTCATTCTGTTAATTTTCAACTTTGAAACTTATTTATTGCTAATAGCAATAAATGAAAACTTATCAATTTTCATGCATTTGCATGAGCGGTGTTTTTATTGGATGCCACTTTTCTGCTCATGTTTTTGAGATACAAGAAACCAATATTTTTTTTTTATTATCAGGTTTGCTTTGTTTCTAGCTTTATTGTGTTTAAACAATATATATATATATATATACTAAAGAAGACTTATCCTAATATCACCCATATATATTTTTTTCTTCGCGATATTTGAAAAAATGAGCTGATATTCTGTAAAATTGTTTTCTTGACCGAATCGGAGGAATTTTTCATTGCATTGTTCGGCTTGCCCAATTTTTTTTTTCTTTTTAATTTAATGCAGCTATCCAAATTGAGTTAGAGGGTTGAAAATTTGTATGTGAATAAAGTTTATGTTAGATAAGTATCCTTTGGAGTTCTTAACACTATCGCCTTTTCGATACACTAAACTTGAAAAAAAAAAAAAAAGTGATGTTCAAAAAGAAAACAGACAGAAATTTGTTCGTTAAAAAAAGAAAAAAAAGGTTTGTTTGATTTTAAAATTCTATTAAAATTCCTCAGGCAAGAATTAGTGAAAAAAATCAATTTCATTCTGTTTTACAAACTAAAATGAGTGGAATGGGTTTTTTTTTAGTTTTTTTTATAGTTACAGCAAGCCAAAACGTACAGTATCTCTATTGGCGATAAAAGTTAGTACTAATTTTGTTTTTCAATTATTTATTATATTGTTATCACTTTATAGCTTATATAAATATTCTTCAGTTTACGATATCGGCGTATGTCATTTATGGCTAAGTAGTTTTGATGTTTAAAATCATAATGATAATCAATGGAGCTTAACATCAATTTTAAAACTTATTTATTGTTGTAAGTAATTAGATCGAAATTTATAAAAAAAATACGTCTTTAGCTCACATGTACTATGACATCAATGCAATCATCTATTAATTTTAAAAAAAAATGATATACACATGGATTTTATAAAATCATTTCCATTATTGAAAAATGAAATTTATTAACAATTACGTTATTAATAAAAAAATCATAAACCATGTTATCTGAAATGACACTAGAATTATACATAAATTAGATTTTTTTTTCCTAATTATGTAAATGAAAACATGATATCCCTTTTTTCTAGTTAATTCTAATAGAAATTAATTTTTATTTTGAAGATGAAAATGTGTTAATGTTGGAAATTTATGTTAGTCCAAGCTATAATATCTAAAAATATTAAATATAACCAAACCAATTATAAGATGATTTCAAATCATTGAAGATTTCTTGAATCATTGATATTTCAGTTCGTTATATAGAGAGTGGGGGTAGGTTATGATATTTATCAATAACAATATAATTTGGTTTATGAAATATAGTTTATGGTTAAATAAAGAGAGAAATTGTTTCTTAGAGTATAAAATTATAAATAAAGAAAGTCTAATATATCATATGATGATTATTCCTGCTTCATGATTAAACTTCTAAATGACACTTGCTGTATCACAAGTTTTTGTTAAAATGATTAGTATAAATTTAAAGAAAATTTATAGATTAAACGAACTATACGAGTATATTATGTGAAACTCCCTTATTGTCAAATCTGAACTATTCATAAGAGACAAAAAAAAGTTAAAAAGAAAAAAAAATATCTTCATGTTGAGTTATACTTGTATGTAATGTCATCGATTTCTTGCAAAAAGTTATTAAGTGACATTATCCTTACATACAATTAGAACTCTAATGAATTTACCTATTGCGAAATCAGGAAATTCTGCCTTTTTTGTAATAAATTTGTTCAAGCAATAAGTCTCAATTCATTTTTTTTTTTTTTTTTGCGAACCAGAAAGCCAGAAAAAATGCATTAATACTTCAAACTTTAAAATAAATATGAAAATTTTAAGTTTTTTTTTGTTAACATATTCGAAATTAAGCTTATGTTTTTAAATAAATGCAATTGAAGAATGGCGATCTAACGTTTAGAAAAAAATATATAATCAGTATTATTTATTATAGACGAAATATCGATAGATGGTAATGCGAATAAATTAATTGATTATCTCATCTTCTCGCTGTTCAATATTTTAATTATACGCTTAGGAAGTTGAACATAAAAAAAAACAGTAATAATAATAAAAAGGACTTTTGAGAATTTTAATTAAAAAATAAAATAAATAAATTTACAAATTATACTTATAAAAATAAGCTATATTTTCATTAAAGTCGAAATCTATTCTGAAGCATATCTATCATACAATAAATAAGTATAATGAAATATGATTTCTTGGTATTTCATGATATTTTGATAAATTAAAAGATATCAAGAATAAAATTGTTTGATTGATAAGTCTGGATCTAATATAATATTTTTTAACAAATGAGAACTTTATTTATAATAAATGAATATTTTAGCCTTTAAAATGGTTAATTTAAACCATTAAACAATTTTTAATTTTCGGATTCGAAATTAAAATTATGCTTTTGAATATATTTAATTTACGAATGATGGTCTAATGTTACAAAAAAATATTGTAATATATATATATATATATATATATATATATATATTATTAGTATTATTTATTATAGATGAAATCTCGATTGATGGTAATGATAATACACTAATCGATTATTTCATCTTCCTGCCGTTCACTATTTTAATTATATGCTAACGAGGTTGATCATAAAAAAAAGTAATAATAATAAAAAGGACTTTTGAAAATTTTAATTAAAAGATAAAATAAAATAAACCAATTTACAAATTATACTATTAAAAACAAGGCACATTTTCACTAAAGTCGAAATCGATTCTGAAGCAACATATAAGTATAAAGAAATATGATTTCTTGATATTTTGATAAATTAAAAGATTTGAAGAATAAATCTGTTTAATTGATACATTAAACAATTTTTTTTTTATTTTTGGATTCGAAATTAAAATTATGTTTTTGAATATATCCAATTTACGAATGATGGTCTAATGTTACAAAACAATATATATATTATCAGTATTATTTATTATAAATGAAATATCGATTGGTGGTAATGGGAACATGTTAATCGAATGCAGTGTTAGAGTCTACAAGTGGTACCTTGGCTCTGATAGCTCTTTCCAGTGACATGTTGGTTGTGTTGTGTTGCAGCCTTCTTCACAGACTGTGTTAAAATGTGGCCTCAGCCAGCGCTCCCTGGTATATATACCTTCCCTCGTCCAGAAATATCTTGAGCTCTTTCATAATTTAGGCTCCAGTGGCCAACTTTCAGTTACTTGTCTAAAATAAGAAGCACAGACTCCCCGCCCTCTTGGGGGGATATTTCGCCGCCGATTCACGTATTCCCTTTTATTCGGAGAGTCATAGGGAACGTCCCCGTCGCCTAACAACTATAAACAAATCCTTTATTAATAGCAAAAACGATAATAAATAACACATTTTATTTTATTTATTTTATTCTATGAGGAAGAGGGACAAGTATACGATATGACTATAAACATCGAGCGACTTTCATATACAATTTATTTCGACGTTGCAAAAATAGTAAATTAAGATAAAATATTAGTCATGGATTAAAATTATTAATATACGAATGTTAAAAAAAAAAAATTGGGTACTTGTGAGCGACGCGGCCTCTATGGACTGCTATCTGCAGTTATCTTGTTATTTAAAGTGTTGTTGTTATTTATATTTTTTATTATTAAATTACTATATTATTATTATATTTATATTTCTTATATATATATTAATAAGAAACAGGCCAAAAAAAGTCAACACCAAATATATTTATACTTCTTATTATACCAGAGTCTAATTTCATATGAAGATAGGGATTATCAGTGTATTATAACAATTATCAGTGTTGAGGTTATAAACATTTAATGATAAGAAATATAAATAACAACAACAACACATTAAATAACAAGATAACTGCAGATAGCAGTCCATAGAGGCCGCGTAGCTCACAAGTACCGAAATTTTTTTATACAGAATGTCCCGGAAGTAGAGGGGAATATTTATAGAAGTGATAAACAGACCTTATGAGCTACCGAAAACTTTGTATGAACATTGGTCTGATTTTAGGCCGAAAAGTAGGAAATTTAAGGTTTGTGTTTTTTTAAATTAAGTCACGTTTTTTGTTGAATAGGTAGCGATATCTAAAAAAAAAGTTATTTTAAGTAATTAGTAATTGTTCCAAAATAAACAAGACAAAATTTACTTCAAATGAAAGTGAAGTTTTTCGGTGTTAAAACCATTTAAAGAGGACCTTTGGGCGGCGAAGCTAAGAGATCTATTTTTTTAAAAACTATTTATTCAAGATATTTACAACTGTATTACAACATAAATTCAGGATATCACGAGGTCATCTTCTTTTCAGACGCCTCGGAAGGTTATCAGAGATCGAAGAGGAAGCAAGGTTAGAAACAAAAGGAATCTGATGGTTATGAAGTTTATTATGGAAGGATGGGTATCTGATAGGGTAGGATGGGAGAAACATATGCAACATTAAGGTCATTATGGATTATTTTATTTGTGAAAAAATAATGAACATTGAGGATTTTATGAAGGATTTTGGACTGTAATAAGAGGTCTATTTAAAATAAATCATAAATTATATGCGATATTATTTTATTACCCCCCCCAACTATAGTTACCTCACTTTTAGAAAAACTTCCAAGTCTTATAAGGCATCAAGTCCATATTAATTAAGTTGAGATAAAAAAATTATTTGATTTTATATCCTGTCAAATAAAAATACTAAATTGTCACTTTATATGATAAATAATCGAAAAATTATTATTTTCATCATTATTCTTTAATAAATAAAAAATGTATTTAGTAAATTATGTTTATTATAATACATCCCAGGTCATGGTAATATAAGAAATAAAATCTTGGCAATAACTTATTGTCATCATTTTTGCTGAAAAAATGGTATCTTTATGTGGTAGAATATAAAATCACATCAAAAGTAATTTTTTGTACACAACTTGAGGTGAATCTCAACTTTTTTCTAAAAAAGTAATTAATATGAAACAATTATTATTATTATGAATCGTTTTCGACATAAGTAAAAATATGCCTTATTTTTATAAGTATAATTTGGAAATTGGTTAATTTTATTTTTAATTAAAATTCTCCTTTTCCTAAAAGTCCTTTTTATTATTATTACAGTTTTTTTATGTGCAAATTCGCAGGAATATATTTAAATTGTGAACGGCAGGAAGATGAAATAATCGATTGATTTATTCGCATTACTATCAATCGATATTTCATCTATAACAAATAATACTAATTATATTTTTTTTAAACATTAGATCATCATTCTTTTATTGCATTTAGTTAAAAACATAAGCTTAATTTCGAATATATTAACAAACAAAATTTAAATTTTCATATTTATTTTAAAGTTTGAAGTATTAATTTATTTTTTCTAGATTTCTGGTTCGCTAATAAAAAAAAAAAAAAAAAACGTGAATAAAAACTTATTACTTATTACAAATTTATCCTTAAAATGAAATATCAGAAATTCATAAAATATCAAGAAATTACCACAAGTAATTACGATTTCGACATAGTAAAAATATGCATTATTTTTAATTTAAAATATTTTTAACGGTATAATTTGTAAATTAATATATTTTATATTATATTAAAATTATAATACTGAAAAGTTAATATTAAATAATAATATTAATATTAATAATTAATATGAAATAAAGCTTATTAAACTTGGAAGTTTTTCTAAAAGTGATATCTATAAGTTCAGTTGGAGGATGATAAAAAAAAAAAAAAATCAAATAATTTATGATTTTTTTAAAAACATATCTTATCTTAGTTTTGAAGTTCAAGAGTCCTCTTTAAATGATTTTAACAACGATAAACTCTACTTTCCTTTGAATTAAATTTTGTCTAGTTTACTGAGAAGCAATTTTTAATTACTCAAATTAAATATTTTTTTAGTTATCGCTACCTCTTCAACTAAAAACGCGACTTACTTAAAAAGAAAACTAATCTTAAAGTCTCTACTTTTCTACCGAAACAAAAATAAATTATAATATAACGGAAGAGATACCTTATTTTTAAAAACCCAGGGTAATTATACTTGTATTAACTGATCATAATTTCATACTGTGAGCATTATTGAAGTCAAATAAATTGTAATAAAGTACAAAATATTATTTTTAAATGAATAAATAAGATATAAAATCAGGATTAAATGTTAAATATAATATTCAAAACAATTTAAAATATAGGTTAATAATAAAAATAGGCTAATAAATAAAAACAGCAAACTTTAATTAATTTGATTGTTAATTAATTACCATCGTATAAAGAACTTTTCTTATTGTTATAATATTATTCCAAAATTCATTTTACTACTTTATAGTTGTATAATTACTTATTTAATTATATTTTAGTTGGTTATTACGATCAAGTAACCTTTTCATTGATTCCTAGCATCGTTCCATTAGAATCGAACAAATTGTTCTAATTCTCTTAGCATTGTAATGAAAAGATGACAAAAGGAGATATATCTTAAATTTAAGTTATGGCTAAATATTGAATTAAATTTCAGAAAGTCTGTTGTTACAGAATAAATAAATACCTGCCACTTCCAGACTTATTATTTTTTTTATTTTTTTTTTTAGTGTCTGTGTATTAGTTTTTAAATCACTGTATATATTATTAAATTTTTTATTAAGTTAGTTTTTATTAGTTAGCTTACTGTTTCGATTTTATCACGAAATTCGATGTTTTTAATTTTTAGCAGAACGTATTTTATTTTGTATCTGTTCATTACAATTATTCTAAGGAAACTTAGTCCCAGAATAAAGTTCAATTTTCTATTCTATTCTATTCTGTTCTATTTATTGAATATAAACACTATCTGCCACACTCAAGGGCAATAATAATTAGAACTAAAAGTACACATTCATACAATATATACATACAACAAAATAAATCAAGGTAATTAAAGGAAAACATAATAACAGAATAAAAAAAAGATAAATTAAAAACAAGATAAATAAAAAAAGATAAATAAATACATTTTAAAAATGTATTTAAAATGTCTTTCAGACTTTAATCCGGGATCTGAATAATAAAAGCACAACGCCTTACTCAGTCAGCTATCCCGCTCAATTGATTATTGTATGATGAGATTAGATAAATTTTGCTGTAATGTCTATTTAGTTAAATATTTTATTTTGAATTTTTTTATTTAGAAAATATATAAATATTATCACATTTTTACTACCAAAGGAGACATGAGAAAAATCAACAATCGGGCTAAGCTTCACATCTTTAAAGATGTTTATTTACGAACTTTACTGTATGTCTCTAAGAGTCAAGTGATGTTACAAAGACGTGTGAGCCACTCGACTGCTATGGAAACGAAATACCTAGACAGAGTGGCAGGCAAGGCTCGAAGAAACGGGGATGAGATGAAGAGTAAGCAGTTGGCCGTACCCCATTAAAAAAAAACACATTATTTAGATGTCAACAAAAGTTTTTCGTGTCAGCGGGACGGACGAAAACCGACACCAAATAAAAATAATTAAAGCGAGAAAAATAATAATTAGAAAACTTGTTCAATGGATGATGGTTCCTTTCGTTGAAATCAAATTGTGTTCTTAAAATAAAATAGTGTGAATATGCTTTCAGAACACTATTATAAATGTCCTTAATTTTGTCAGATTGTAATATTTCTGAATAAATAAAAATAAAATAATGAAAAAAAAATATTAAAAATGATCGAAATTTATACAAAGTGTATTTGGAAAAGTAATTACCCTAATTTTCTTATTTTTATTTATTCATTCATTCCGTGAATAATAAATTATTACAAAAAAAAAAAAATAACTACCTAATTCCAAGTGGTTGTTGTCAGCATTGTTGAATGAATTATTTAAATAGCATGCAAATAAGTATTATATAAGCTAAAAACGATATTGCATATTATATGTAGTGGCTCACAGTCAAAATAGTACACCTGGATACTGATAGAAATTATTGAATAAATAAATAGTTCAATTTATATTACATTGAAAACAATAATTTATTGTGATATGGAGATGGTTGACCGTGGATTCGATTTCAAAAGAAGTTAGTCGGGGGTGCGGTCAAAAATACTATATTATATAATAGTATATTTTATTACATTTTCAAACAAGACAACCAGTCGCCATACGACCTTTAACAATACCTGACGGAATGGTATGTTTTTGACTATTATTATTATTATTTATATA